ATCATGATCACGCGAAATATCTATTCAAAAAGCTCCCTTACCTTTTGTTCATAGCCACTCTGTGTCCTACGGCTGGTTTAAACGCCGGTTAGTCGACTTTCTTTCCATCGAGTACTGAACACTATAAAAGAAGGGAAGGCTGGAGACCTTCCAATTGACCCTCGTCCCTCGAAGGCCAATAAATTCCAAACAAAGCGACCGATCTCCCTAAAATTGAAGAGTGTACACCTACCCGTTCGACGAACGCCAGGTTCTAAATTCGGCTGCATGAGCTCGAGGATCGTTGCATTTCGCATCGATTCTGGCCAGCTTCGCTTCGCCATGATGCGCAATCTTAACTGTTATCCTACGAGATTCAAATCTTGGAGCTTAGCGACGGCGTCAGATGGACAAAACGTCACTCTCGCGGGGGGATGGTCGTCACTTTTGCCCTATCGCAAACGGACACCGTCCGGGGAGCTGGTGCGTTTAATTCGGCCGGAAACAGCTCACACGTGTATGACACATGAAACCCAAAAACGTCCCAGACTGTCTTATCTCCGATTTGAGATTTAAATCTTGCCAATAACGGTTCCAAAATCAGTTCGTTGCAGTCCGTTGTTTGGGTCAGTAGTTCTGTTGAAGTTCGATATTTCCTTTCGTATTTTAACAATAGTTCTTTTCAGAGGTACCCTAAAATATATTTTTCTTTTACACGTAGCTTGTTTGTTAGTAAAATCGCGTGTATTTCGGTTCCTGTGGTGATCGCGTGTATTTCGGTGCCTGTGTCTAGCGTTTGAAGAAAGTCTGTTGATAACGATGTTTTCAAAAGTAGCCAGACAAGAGGAGAATTTTCCTCCAAAGAAGAAAAGGAAATCTTTTGGCTATTCAGAAGAGTAAAAAAAAATAAAAACAGTCTGGGACGTTTTTGGGTTTCATGTGTCATACACGCGTGAGCTGTTTCCGGCCGAATTAAACGCACCGGCTCCCCGGACGGTGTCGGTTTCCGATAGGGCAAAAGTGACGACCCTCCCCCCGCGAGAGTGACGTTTTGTCCATCTGACGCCGTTGCTAAGCTCCAAGATTTGAATCTCATAGGATAACAGTTAAGATTGCACATCATGGCGAAGCGAAGCTGGCCAGAATCGATGCGAAATGCAACGATCCTCGAGCTCATGCAGCCGAATTTAGAACCTGGCGTTCGTCGAACGGGTAGGTGTACACTCTTCAATTTTAGGGAGATCGGTCGCTTTGTTTGGAATTTATTGGCCTTCGAGGGACGAGGGTCAATTGGAAGGTCTCCAGCCTTCCCTTCTTTTATAGTGTTCAGTACTCGATGGAAAGAAAGTCGACTAACCGGCGTTTAAACCAGCCGTAGGACACAGAGTGGCTATGAACAAAAGGTAAGGACGCTTTTTGAATAGATATTTCGCGTGATCATGATTTTTTTCCCTTAGCGTTGTAGATTCGAATACATGTGATAAAATTCGATCAATAAGGGCCCGAATCACATGTAATAATGCAAGAAATATTGATTTTCGTTATCTTAAAGGCTACTAGTACCGATAGACAAACAAGAAGACTTCATATCTTTAAGACTTTTTGCATTTATTTGGCATCAGATAATACACTAATAATTCTAGTATATTCCCACCAAATGACCTCTGAAGCCCAAACCCACAAATAGTGCGCTTGGGCTGCCTGTGATGTAACCATCAGGTGTGTTCTACCCACGAGGTTACAAAGAGAAAGTGCAATGATTATTATTAACGTAACCTTCAGGTATGTTCTACCCACGAGGTTACAGAGAGCAAATGCAGTGATTATTATTAATGTAACCATCAGGTATGTTCTACCACGAGATTAGAGAGAGCATGCAAATGCAGTAACAGTTATTAGATTTTAGTGCAACTATCAGGTTGAGTTCCTCCATTAAAAGAGGTTTTTTCCAGGGTTAAACAAGTTTGGCTTTCATGAGTAAATTATCAGTATAATTATAGCACACAAACATTGTCATCTAATTTTTCGCACCTAGCCGGAATAAGCCAAGAAATGAAGCATATATAACAAAAAATCGTCCTCAGATGATCTCCATATTACGTAAATTATACTAAACGTTGCGAAAGAAATTATTGTTTGTATCCGTCTTATCCATAGTAAAAGCAAGGGGTCATCGCATGACATCCGGTATGTTAAACAGAGGTAATACTCACGGGTTTCACGATTTGTCTGCACTATTTTTCGCCGACATACAAATTTAAACTTCAATTCTTACCGTAAAGAAGTCCGTTCTTTTACCTTCGACAGCAAATCTGTTAAAGGCGAACAAAGCGATTCCGGCACTCTTCTTTATGAAGAGTAGCAAGCCGCTTGACTGAAGTAAAATCCACCGATATGCACGGCATTCTCACTACAAATATAAACACACATCGTGGGGAAAAAAAGACGAGGAGGAAAAAATGCCAGATCTTCGCCTCGGCAACCAGCTACCATGCCGGCGTATCTCCAGAAGGTGGACTCGAAGTGGGACAAACCTTGTGATTTTTTTTAGAAGCCCTTTGCGCGCAAACTAATTTATTCTGGTGCGAAATGAAGATTAACAATGTATACTGAAATCTAATCCACGACAAGAAGATTTTCGCACTGTAGCGCGACATATTAAATGCCTATTTTTACAAGTACGCGGAGAAAGTGGTCCACTAGTTTAACTTTTTTAAGATGAATTTACTCCACAAAAGCAAAATGAAATGTTTTATCTCTGTTTACGTGCCTGATTAGAAGGCAGAAGTAAATTCATCATACAGACCCCATCAAAATGAAAGTACACGAATGCAACGGAATAAGTCTGGGACGGTTTAGTTTCTACTCAGCAGCTTCTTTGCTTTTATAACAAAAATTTAATGTTGCAGTCTGTTTTAAACGTTGGCATATCAACGCGCACAGTCACTGAATGAAAACAACAGTCACGATTACATTCTTCGAAACCGACCAGAGACGCACGACCTACCACTGTTATGGTACGCAATTATCCTGAAGGTGTTAATGTTCCCGTGACAGTCTTCGCACTGAAGGTGTAAATGGTAAACCGAACGGTCGCTTTGATCATCAGAAAGACCTGTCAACTTTGATGATTTAACTGATTAAATTACGGGACAGAAATTTTACTGCTTGCGGCTCCTCGTGATACGGACTTGTCCCACGTTATCTTTAAATGAATGCAAAACCCTAGATTTGTATTTAGGGAGAATCATGGAATGGTAAATTCCCACCAACCTGTTCTCCGGGTTTCTTGGCTTCTCTGCCACATACGCAGAATCGCCTAACTCAGCTAGCAGGAAACGAAACACTTTTGCAACATCATGCATTGTGGCACAAAAATATCTGTTAACCATCCAAGGTAACCAAGCTGGTCAGTCTTAAAAGTTTTTATCACAGAGAACCTGATGTTCTCATGGTTCGGACTTTTGTTAAGCATCACAGTGTTCTTTCCCATGGCAAGCTGCTGCATAATTGTGGTTTGCATCTTCTTTGTGGCAGTTCCTGTGATTGCTAATAGGGGTACACCTAAAAAAATAAAAGGAAAAACAGAGAAATTAGTCAAATAATGTTTAAATGATTAAAGCACAGACCCAACTTTTATTCCCAGTTACAATTTATTTTCCGTTGGTTTTGTGTATGGTATGGTATGATAATAAATTTGAAACCAAAAATGAGATTTATTTCTGAAAGAAATAAATGGTTTTATGCTTAATGTGACTGATCATTATTGTATTTCTCCAGCTACCAGCAAAGGAGGGTTTCCTGTCATCCGGGTGATTTGTCACGAAAGTGTCATTTATGTCACGGGTCATGTAAGTCACAGAAGCGAGGCACAAGGCCTTCTTCCTCGCATTACAAGACAGTCAGAGACATTTTTGATGGCGACCGGATTTAGATGCAGGATGTGTGCGATTTATCAGTCTCTTTCGCTCTTCTTGGGTCTTACCTACCGAGCATCACCTCTTCTTTGAGATAAGTACTAGATTATTGCCCGATGGCTCACCGCTTACTCTCGGTGATGTATTGATGTCCACAGTCATGTTCGTGCACATGATCGTCTTGTTGATTGCGGGAATTCATACACGTTGTGGTCGTTTATGCTAATGAATGCCATTGTTTATTGGTAACATCGAATTTTACATCCAGTCGACCATTAATTTTTTATGTTTTCAGTTACACTGGCGTGTATGCTAGTCCGTTCGGTGTCCGTAGCACAGTTTCGTTGTGTGCCTCGTGTTCTTCAGCTACTTGTATCGCTGGTGCCAACTGGCGCTATATTTGAAATCAGTAACACTCGCCCGATCTTCATTTTTATTTATACCAGCCTGGAGCTGGTTCTCTTTGTTTATGATCTTGTTTTATGATTTGGAAAGACACTTTATTTATTCATAATTATTTTGAGTTTACCTTTATGCACATTTGAGCATTTTTGACCTTTGGACTCAGCTTATATGTATAATTAAAATTACAGTATTATAACAACAACAACAACAACAAAACAAAGCCAAACAAACCGATGCGTTCTTAAACCCTACAGGCTAAAACGTGCATGCACGATACTTTCAGCACTGTTACAAGGTTTTAGAAATTACCTTGCAACCATTCTAACAAAGCTACCTCAGAGGTACAGTGAAGTGAAGTGTATCAGCATATCAGGTTTATCGTTTGCTGTTCATATGTCAGTTTTGTCTGCATATTGTGTTTTTATCCTGTTGCATTGTGTATCGTTGTGTTCTGTTGTTTTCCTTTAGTCGCTGTTGGCGACATTCTGTCTGCCAGTGCTTACTTCTGGGCCGTTTTTTCAGTATGAGGCTTTGTTCCTCCACTTGTATTTGAGGCGTTGACCTCATTTTGTTGAGGTTTTGTCCTCATGTTGTATCAAGGCTTTGTCCTTGTTTTTGATATTGAGGCTACGTCCTCATACTTTATTTGGAGGCTTTGGCCTCGTATTATATTGAGGCTTTGTCCTCATATTTTATTTTGAGGCTTGTCCTCGTAATATTGAGGCTTTGTCCTCATATTTTATTTTGAGGCTTCGGCCTCGTATTTTATTTGAGGCTTCGTCCTCATATTTTACATTGAGGCTTCATCCTCATATTTTATTTTGAGGCTTCGGCCTCGTATTTTATTTTGAGGCTTCGTCCTCATGATTTATAGTGAGGCTTTGTCCTCACATTTTATTTTGAGGCTTCATCCTCATATTTTATATTGAGGCTTCGTCCTCGTATTTTATTTTGAGGCTTCGTCCTCGTATTATATTGAGGCTTTGTCCTCATATTTTATATTGAGGCTTTGTCCTCATATTTTATATTGAGGCTTCATCCTCATATTTTATTTTGAGGCTTCGGCCTCGTATTTTATTTTGAGGCTTCGTCCTCATATTTTATATTGAGGCTTCGTCCTCATATTTTATTTTGAGGCTTTGTCCTCATATTTTATATTGAGGCTTTGTCCTTATATTTTATATTGAGGCTTCGTCCTCATATTTTATATTGAGGCTTTGTCCTCATATTTTATTTTGAGGCTTTGTCCTCATGTTTTATATTGAGGCTTCGTCCTCATTGTTTTATATTGAGCTTCGTCCTCATATTTTATATTGAGGCTTCGTCCTCACTGTTTTATATTGAGGCTTTGTCCTCATATTTTATTTTGAGGCTTTGTCCTCATGTTTTATATTGAGGCTTCGTCCTCATTGTTTTATATTGAGGCTATGTTCCTCAGTTTGAGGCTTTGGTCCTCATTGTTCTAGGCCCCTGTTCCCTTGTTTGTACCGCTTATTTGATTTGTTTGCAGTGATATGTGTGTGGTTCTGTTTGTTGTATTTTTGTCTAGGGTAACCAGATGCCAATGTTATTTGGTTTGAATTTCTATTCACATTTTTTGCCTTTTTTGTCTATTTTTTAGTCTTTATTCGAGTAATCCGTTATTTTGGTTTACATGCAGCTACATTAATTTTAATCTTCGGTTTTGTTGGCTCCCCTGTTTTGATATGTGTGGACATTACAGTCCTGCATTTATTGTGATGCGACCCTGTAATACGTTGCTTTATACTTTACTCTCCATGTCACATCAGTGCTTTTAGCTTTGTTGTTTTTGAGGAATTTACTGTTTATTAGTTTTGTTTGGGAGATCCTGATTGATTTATTAATTGGTTACACATTGTTCTTTAATGGTAGCACATTCTGGCTTTTTTAAAGAAGTTGTTTTTATAGTTTTTTCATTTTACTGCGGGTGCTAAGGTATACACATGCAGCTCCCTTTCATGGATGCCTTTTCAATGAAGTCAGTCTTGAGCAGAGTACCAACCAGCTTTATCCAACCATCGTCAGCTTTCCCTCGGCATCTCTCTTAAGAAAGTCAATAGCTCTGCATTCTCTTTGGTTCCTCAATTCAGTTCAACATAGTATGCCAGAAATGTTCCAAAGAGTTGTACACATTCCGCTGATCAGTTTTCCAGGAGTTGCATCTCTAGTGCCGGGCTACTCAAGGGCAGCTGCTGCGTCCCTTGGCATGTGGCATCTACGTGTACATCTACTTGGGCAGAACTTTCCTCAGGCAACTTTGGCTTGCTTGGCATTGTGATTGGGTATACATGTAGCTCAAGTGTATAGGCATGTATGTCATTTGATACTTATGTGCAGGACATATGGGCAGTGACATAGTAATATGTAGAATTCTCACCACATGAGTCAGGGTCATTCGGCCATCTTACAGTAGATTAATTTTTTCACTTTATTCACCTGTTAGTTTCCTAGGTGATTTCTGCTTATAGTACAGTTTCAAGGTGACTGTGTGAGCAGGGGCCATACGGCCATCTCACAGATTTCCATTTGAATCAGTTACATCAGTGAGTTACGTCAGACTTTTTATTAGCATCATTCAGGGTGACTGTGTGAGCAGGGGCCATACAGCCATCACACAGATTTATTGTAATCAGCTACATCAGTGAGCTATTTCAGACTTTTGATAAGTATAATTCTGCATGACTGTGTGAGCAGGGGCCATACAGCCATATCACAGATTTCCAAATTTAATGCGTCTATTATGTCACTGAGCTGTGACAATTTAGAGTAAATTGTTATTATTTAAATACATGTTTACTGTGTGAGCAGGGGCCATACAGCCATCTTACCGATTTCATTTTAATCAGTTACATTAACGAGCTATTTCAGCTTTTTGATAAGTACAGGGGCTATACAGCTGGATCACAGTTTTTCAAATTAAATCATTTCATTATGTCACTGAGCTATGACCATTCAGCCTAAATTGTTATCATTTAAATTCATGGTGACTGTGTGAGCAAGGGCCATACAGCCATCTTACCGATTAATTTTCAGTTCTAATCATTTCAACCTGGTTTAACTTTACAGCTTTTAAACACGTTTGAGCTTCGTATCGATGTGGCATTAGTGACTGACTGTGTGAGCTGACAGGCTATGCAGCCATTTCCTTTATTCTAGCTACAGTAGCCCATTTCTTTTGGTTACATCAATCCACTTCTGTATCCAGGACTTAGGAAAACGTTACTTAAAACTCATTTGCTTATGTAGGCCATTTTATTCCCATCTAGTGTCCAGTGCTTAGTGAATAAGTGCAATTTATGATGGCTGTGTGAACAAGGGCCATACAGTTATCTCATTCATTTTCACTTTTAAACTGTTAGTTAACTTAAGTGATTCACACTTTTTGATCTGTATCAGATTCAATGATGTAAGTGCCAGTGACAAAGAATGTATACAATGTCCTATTGCTATGGACACACATGAGCCATTCTGGCGCTAGTTGACTCTATTGTTGAAAGATGTACACGGTTGGATGATTATAATACATGTATATTCATCTCAGCTCTCGTACATTGACCTTTTTTATTTGTAATGTGGTATCTTTCTTACCTTTAACCCCCAGAGGTTTTGTGTGACTGCATTGGTTGGGGGATACGTTCTCAATTTTTCCCATGTGGTTTTTCGGGTTTTCGTATCAGGCGGCGCACACCTTTTTCTATTGTACATTTTGATTTGTAGGTACCAGTAGTTTCTGTTGGCGGTCGTCTTGCTTTGGCCTCGGGTGGGGCGGCCCTTTCACTCATTCCTTGCTCTGGGCTGTGGCGGGTGTGCCCTCACCTTTGCTGGGATAATGTTCTTGTGTATCTGGTTTTCCCAGCTTTATATGCTTTAATTTAATTAACGGCCACTCTCGTGGCCAAAATATCCCATAATGGGTTGGTGATTATTTTGTGTCCCAGCAAACAGAGCTCACCCAAAGCGAGACTCCGCCAACGTCAATAACTTTCGTAATATGTAAAGGAACATGAAGCATAAATGAGATTTATTTCTGAAAGAAATAAATGGTTTTATGCTTAATGTGACTGATCATTATTGTATTTCTCCAGCTACCAGCAAAGGAGGGTTTCCTGTCATCCGGGTGATTTGTCACGAAAGTGTCATTTATGTCACGGGTCATGTAAGTCACAGAAGCGAGGCGCAAGGCCTTCTTCCTCGCATTACAAGACAGTCAGAAACATTTTTCCCTCCCTTCCCTCCCGTTAGCTTTATTTTACCCTAGGGAGTGGCGGGTGTGCCCTCACCTTTGCTGGGATAATGTTCTTGTGTATCTGGTTTTCCCAGCTTTATATGCTTTAATTTAATAAACGGCCACTCCCGTGGCCAAAATATCCCATAATGGGTTGGTGATTATTTTGTGTCCCAGCAAACAGAGCTCACCCAAAGCGAGGCTCCGCCAACATCAATAACTTTCGTAATATGTAAAGGAACATGAAGCATAAATAGAGATATAATTTAGAAGAAAAATAGAATTAAACTGCAACATATACATGCTTCAAACTTATTTGTTACATAGTATTATGTTAATGCATGCAGAAAAAGGTAAAAATCTCAAGGAAAAGCTTACTACATGTTTTAATCAGCATGACTCTACATATTTGGATTGTATCGATAATGAATATTTGTCATGCAATGTAAATCTGGACAACAATTCAATGTTCATTTGCAAACAACTTACGGAATTTACAACACAGAGGTATACAGATGACGAGAGGCTGAGCTTCTTAAGTGACAAGCTTTGCATCTTATAGCTTACAAACAAATCGAAATACGAAAAATGAAACAGTAAGACTTTTAAGTTTGGATAAACAAAATCATTGCTAATACGTACCACTACAAAAGGATCGAAGAGTTGACAGTTCGCCAAAATCTTTTCTAAACGGTTCTGAAACCTTTCCTCTCTTCTTGCCCTTTCCCCTGAAGTGTAAGATAGTTCTCATAAAATTAAAATCTCAGTAAAAGGTTCGCTGTGAAAGGCTTATTAGCTAGCTTATAATTATACATGCAAAGACATCGCGACGTGTGGAATTCATCGCGTGCAATTTTGTTAAACAAATGAAAGGCAAAATTTAAAATGTGACATATATTGTACCACTGATCGCAAAATAATGACCTCTTATCTGCTAGAAAGCAGTTAACCCTGCATTTCTCGCCACTTACCAGGTTTCCACTGTGTGACTTTCATCCACCACGATCAGCGACAACGATTTCTTGAGCTCGGAGGAGTCGTCCTTCAGCAAACTGAGAAATTCGCTCGATAAAGCTTGCTCAGCGGAGGCATAGATTAATTTGTATTTGTTGCTTTTAATGTCCTTTAAGGCTTCGCTCGATTTCTCAAAACCTTTGGCTGTCATGCCAAAATCATTGTAGTTTACTTGCTCTTCTAGGATGCTGCGAAGCGGGACGATAACTAAACAACACGGATCAGTGACGCAGCCCTCCATTTCTTTTGCAATGACAAAGCTTTGATGTATTAAGCTCTTCCCGAAGCCAGTAGATAGTGCAGCAAACACATCTTTGCCATCCAGCAAACTTTTCAACGCTTCTTCTTGTTTGTCCTTCAAAACTAAACCTCCAAGGCGCTCAGTTAATCTGTATGAAAACGATACATCTGAAATTGATCCCCCGCGCGCGAGGGCCATTTTTAGAACTGTCGACTTGTCAACAGCTTGTCAGTTTCAGCCAAACCTCTATTGTCTAATGACTAATCAGATGGCTACGTTGCTGGAGCAGCGCGCTCCTTGAACGCGAGTCGCGGTGATGTTGGTACAGTCCCTCTATTTTTCTCACCCCCCACACCCTAGAGCTATAATCCCCGACGCCCGCCCCCACGGTACATCTAAAAATCACGATGGCCGCAGTTAACAGTAAGACGCGCTCAATCTCGACTATCACACGGAAAAATAGGGGACTGTGAACGGTCTACACAACAGCTTTTTAGTTATTTAACCCCTTCATTCCTAGCCGAAAAAATAACTTAAATTTCTTTCGTACAATTCTAAGAAACAAATAGTAATGTGCAACTAGTGGAAGAGGTTTGACTTGAATGGTAACATCATAGGATTTCATCCACAGATTTAAATGTCCGAGTGGCAATCTGGCCACAATCTGGTATATACTTCATGGTGGAAAACCACAAGTGTACCGGTAATATACACTCTGTGTAATATGTAGTATTGTGTCTTCTGCCTTATAGCTAGTGGTAGTTACTAGTAGTTAGTGGTAGTTATTATTAGTTACTGGTAGTTACCAGTAGTTGTCGGTAGTTATTAGTAGTCACTAGTAGTTGCCAGTAGTTGTTGGTAGTTACTAGTAGTTACTGGTAGTTACTACACCGTTTGCTGTTCATTACGAGAAAATACGCATTCATTTGTGTGAAACGGCGACCGACAGCACGAAGATACATTCATTACCACGAACAAGCGAACATTTGCGCATAAATCAGATCCAATAACGATTTTTGCATTTTAATCAACATTCAATAACATTTTTGGTCATTCATTTGCGTCATTCAACACACAAGATTGAAAAATATACTTTCATTAACGCCAACATTCGAGTCATTAACATTATCTTGAAAATCATTAGGGACAACAGACAAACATTTAAGTGCAAACGCTATTCATGAACTTTTTGTGACACTGTTTGCAATTCAATAGCATTCGTGGACAGCTCTAGAATGGATAAGACAAACATTAATGCTCTTGTACAATCAATTGAGTGTTCTTTACATTTAATATACAAAAATATATTATCAATTAAACAAAACCAATTCCCCTCAAAATTGGCCTGAATTTGTTAAAGAATCACTCCGTACTTCACCACTGTGTGTTCGTCGACGGCTGCGGCTATACATTACAGTGAAACCTGTATTAAGCAGACACCCTTTATTAAGCACACAGTAGCCGAAGTCCGCAAATTTATTTCCCTTATTTACTTTAAATGAAACCTTTATTAAGCGGATACCTCTATTAAGCGGATGCAGACACCTAAAAAGTACCTGAAATGGTCATTTCTATTGTTGCCAACCTGCCTTAAACGGCCCACACTAGTAATTAAATTCCACCACCCAACATGCCAGACACTGGAAATGCAAAGGATTGCCACCCACAAATTTTAATATTTTTACTTTAAAAAACGTGATTTGACGAACTTATTTGATTAGTTTCACAGTACAGTGTTGTTTTCTATTTCGTTTTGTCTGTATAGAGATTGTTTCACTCATCTGAGTTCCTTAAATTTGAGTTGCAATCTATGTTTATGGTACTACCATCAATTAGTCCCCTTTAATAAAGAAATTAATGCAAACGTATATCATAGTCTCTGGGAGTATTCTAAACGTTTCCACTGTTCATTTGAATGGCATTTGACACCTCATATAACGTTATCTATTGAAACCTGTACATATTAGGCGGACAACCTCTATTAAGCAGACACTACAGCATTCTCCGAGGGTGTCCGCTTAATACAGGTTTCACTGTACCCTGTATATTCCACCACATGGGAAGAGAAAACCAGGAAGGCAAGGAACCCTGTTTCTCAGATACATTCAACACCTTTTGGAGACACAGACAACATGATTGGCCCGGGCAAGCTGTCTGAATTGGCACAGGATCGTTGTGGCTGGAGGACGCTCGTAGTCGCCTGCTCTGCAGCCGACCGATGATGATGACAGCATTCCCCGAGGGTGTCCGCTTAATACAGGTTTCACTGTACCCTAGACAGCCAGAAGTCATGGTGGGGCACGACAGGGAGTGGTGGGCGTACCGCCAAGTGTGCGGCCAACGAGGGCGAAACTTGACTATGTCCATGGCAGTATTACCTATCAAATGTTTTCCTCGGCAGCTGCTGGAGTAGGAATACTGTGTCAGTTTTTCGGTGACTTTCTGGCACGGGCGAGGAAAAAATGGATCTCGATAAGTCGGTGGTCTTTGCATATGGCGGGGTGCCAGCCCACCTACAGTTGTACATTTGGCCATTCCCGCCCCATACGTACACAGCTTATGCTTCCCCTCTCGACATCGTTGAAAAGGATTTAAGTTGTCTGAAAGCGACACCAAAGGCCGACATCTTGAGTCCGAAAATTTAAAGATGTATAACAGGAATGCCCAAGCAATCCCACTCGTGGAGTTTGGAAACAAGAACTGCCATGCTTGAAGCTCTGCGCAGAAACATGACATTGTGATTGCAGCGAAATGTGCTAAGGGATACCATTTCATGCAAACCTACCTCCCAAAATGTTTAAATAGCGAGGTTTTAAAGGGATATATAAATTCAGTCTAAATTTGTTTGAATTTCCATTGTTTAATTGAAAATCGATTTTTGAATATTAAATGTAAAGAACACTCGATTGTACAAGCGCATTAATGTTTGTCATATCCATCCTAAGGTTGTCCAGGAATGCCATTGAATTTCAAACAGTGACATGAAAATGTTAATGAATAGTGTTTGCACTTTAATGTATGTCGGTTGTCGCTATTGACTTTCAAGATGGTGTTAATGACTTTGATGTTGGCGTTAATGAAAGTATATTTCTCTCTTTTGTATGCCCAGTGACGCATATGAATGTCCAAAAGTGTTATTGAATGTGGATTAAAATGCAAAAATCGTAATTGAATCTGATTTATGCGCAAATGTTCGTATTTTCGCGCTAATAAATGTATCTTGGCATTATTGGTCGCCATTTCACGCAAATGATTGCGTATTTTCTCGTAATGAACAGCAAAAGGTGTAGTAGTTCTCGGTAGTTTCTAGTAGTTGCGAGTATTTACTGGTAGTTACTAGTAGTTGTCGGTAGTTACAAAATCTTGCTGTCGTGAATACACTGCAGGCATTGCCCTTCTATGATCTTGATGACAGGGAATTTAGCTTTGTGATTGGTAATTGGACTAGACAATTTGATGAATTAATGACATCTCATCTCTATAACCTTCTACCAAACCAGATAAAAATGATGAAGCAGACTCTGATTCAATGTTTGCCAATCCACAGTCTGAGTACTATACTGTATCAAAACTGAATAACATATTCAATACTACCCAGTGTAAAGGTATTTCCCTTTTCCACTGCAATATATGAAGTTTAAGGAAACATTTGACCCTATTAAATGACGTGTTATGTTCCTTGGACTCAAGACTGGACATTATAGCTATAACATGAGACCTGAAATGAAAATAAATCTACCATAAGTCGAGTTCTGTTGGGTTGAAATTGACCCCAACAACAACAGAAAGCACATTATAATTGGCTGTATCTACAAACACCCGACTGCAAATGTGGAAGAATTTACACTTAAATTTGATGAATTTTTAATGATATGTATGTAACGGGTGATATGGATATTAACTTTCTGAAGTATCTTGCACACCAGCAAACAGAGATACCTTTGTATGATCTACTCCCTTGATCTTTTACCAGTAATAACTAAACCTACTAGAAGCACTAGTCATACAGCGACATTGATAGATCATATTCTATACCAATGCTGTTAATATATTGACCTCTGGGATTGTCACAGTTGATATCTCGGACCATTTGGCCGTCTTCTGTATGGTTGACACACCTCTCAAAAAGCAATAGACGAAATATGTATTTTAGAGACTACAGTAAATTTAACACAGAATCATACCTCCATGCTATTCACGTGGGACAGAGCCCCATACTCATAGATTAAGGTCAACGTCTTTTCGTTTGGTTGTCACGTGATTGACCGAGCGTACGTACGCGTCTACGGATTCTACGGGTGGGGTAGGGGAGACTATCAAAAGGAAGGGAGGGGTGTCTCAGGCGTGTCTTGGCAAGTCCACATCTTTTACTTTGGACATTCACAATATGGTCAATTGACAGCTGTCAAAACAGTATAGCCACTGACCAGTATCCCATCACCATATTGCGGGCTCATTTGTCAACTTATTGAGGTGACGTGATTTATTTGGAAGCTGTCCGCTGACCAGTTAATTATTTTACTAGATCGATCAATAATCAATGTCATACTTTCTAGCTAGTTTGGGATCGTAGCACAGGAAAACTGATACACATATTGGACATCAATGTTGTGATTATTGACAGCTGTCAAAACAAGGCATCCGCTGACCAGTATCACTTGACTGTATCGCGGGCTCAGGTATCGACCCATCGAGGTTAAGTATTTTTTTGAAGTTATCCGCTGACAAGGTACTGGTTTTCAAATGATCGCAGGCTAAATTTTTTGTTAAAATACATATGAAATATGTTGCGTATATGTGCCGCACAATTAAAATTTTGATTTCAAACTTTTCTTGGACACGAAAATTCAGCCAGCTGCTACAGGCAGGGAAGACAGTTGCTTTTTATAAAAACGTTTCGGCTGGCCATACCAGCCTTCTTCAGGTTTACAGATGTTACAGATGTTATAAAAAAACAATACAGGTTGTTTTAAATCAGCTTTGCAGTAGTCTTTGGACTTCTCGTTCTTGGTTCTTTATATTTTGGCTGATTTGATCTCTCTTCTAGAGATCCAACGTTTACAACTAGCAGGATCTCTTCGTCCACGGTTTTTGCAGTTAATGTAATCTTTTACAGTTGCTTTTGACTTTTCTCGCCATGTAGTGTAATTAATGTTCACGCGTTGGTCATGCTCTACGTCCAATCTTTATGCTCTGAT